GAGTAGAAGCCACATCTTTTTGTTTGTTTGTTTGTTTTGCTTTTTTTTATGGTTCACACCCAGCAATGCACAGGGGTTACTCCTGTCTCTGTACTCAGAAATTACTCCTGGTGGTGCTCAGGGGACCATATGGGATGCTGGGAATCGAACCCGGGTCAGCTGCGTGCAAGACAAACACCCTACCCGCTGTGCTATCGCTGCAACCCCCAGAATCCAAGTCTTAGCATGTAGTTTGGGACCAGAGCAATAATACAGCATGGAGGGTGCTTGTTCTGTGCGCAGCCAGCCCAGGTTCAATCCTGATTACCCCATATGAGCCCCACTAGGAGTGATCACTGTATTCAGAGCCAGGAGCCAGGAATGAAGCCCTGAGCTTCATCAGGTATGACCCCCTTTCCCCCCCCCCACACACATTAAAGTAAATGAATCATAAAATAAATTAAAAAACAAATCAAAAATTCTTGGCACCACACTGTCCCCCAAGCACTGTTAGGTACGGCTTTGGAGACCCCCTCCCCAAGCACAACAGTTTGGCCCTGGAGGCCCCGAGCACTACATTGGAGACCTGGGTCATCCCAGCTCGAAGGCCCCAAGCCATACCCCATCTTCGGGCTCTTGCATTCAAAGATGGGCCTGGTTCTCTGAGAATCACTGGGAGGGCCCCCGGGCCTCCTGAGCACCATTTGGGATACCCCCAAATGAATAATAGTAGACTGTATAATCCAGTGGCATTTATTCCATTTATGATATTGTGCAACCATCACCACTGTTTCAGAAACCTTTTCATCACTGCAAACAGAACCTCTGTAACCAATAAGCTTTGTCGACTTTGTCTCTATGAATTTGCCTCTTCTAGGTGCCTCATATAAGAGAAATCATATTATATTTGTCCTTCTGGGTCTGGCTTATTTGATTTAGCACAATCTTTTCTATATTTATCCACATCGTAGCTTTCTTCCTCTTTTAAATAGAATGCAATTCCTTCGATTTATTTTTGAGGAGGGCCAGTACCTGGGGGTGTCCAGGGGCTACTCCTGACACAGCGCTTGGGGTTTCTCCTGGAAGTGCTCTGAGGACCATGTGGTGCTTGGAATTGTAACGAGGCCCCCTACTTGCAAAGCATGTGTTCAGCTATCTCCCTAGCTCCGAATATTCTAGTGTATATAGATAACAGCGGATTTATCCGTTTGTATGTTGGTGGATACTTTGGTCATTTCTACTCATAGCCATATGAATAATTCAGTAACTATTAGCAAACACTTTTTTGGAGGGGGTGTGGGCCACACCATGACCCTGCATTCAGGGGTCACTCCTGGCAGTGCTTGGGCCAGATGTAGTGCTGGGATCGAACCTGGATCAGCTGCGTGCAAGGCAAGCGCCATGACTATTGTACTGTTGTTCCAGCCCAACAAACCTTAGAGTCTTCATTTTCGTTGTGTTAGATACATATGAGGAATAGCATTGTTTGGTCATGTGGCAATTCTGTGATTACTTTTATAAGCATCCAATGCTCCATTCTCCATACTGTCACACCGTTTCCAATTCCCACCCCAGTGTGCTGGACGGAGAGCTCAATGGGCAGAGCACATGCCTATTGTAGGAGGCCCAGGTTTTATCCCCAGCACTGCATGGTCACATGAACACCACTGGTAATGACCCACAAACACTGAGTCAAAGAGTAGCTTCTACTCAGTGTGGCCCGGAACCCCCCCCCCCCCCCACACACACACCAAATTCCCACTCCAAATGTACAGTGGTTCCAATTTCTGCACATCATTTTCAAACTTGTTTTCTTTCCTTTTTCAAATTCTAGCTCTTAATGAGTGTGAAGTGCTATCTTATTGTGGGTTTGATTTGAGTTTCCCTAATGGCTACTGCTGTCGCGCATCTTGTTATGTGCTTATTAGCTATTTGTAGAGCTTCTTTGGAGAAATATCCAGTCAGGTTTTTTTTTTTTTTGCCTGGCACTTATGTTTTTTAAAGTATTCTGGGAGGAATGGAGGCAAGCAGAGATTGAGGAAGTAGAAGGACTGGTCTGGGTGTCTGATTAGATTTGGGAGTCAACACTGAGTTTTCCAGTTGGTAAGTGGGTGAGACAGCCGCCACCCCCTCCCATGCCCCCCCTCATTAACTGAAGAAGGGGCAGGTTGGAAGGAAGAGGTGGGGGTTGAGTAGGATTGTGTGAAGCCTGGAGTATAGTGCATCTTCTCCTCATGTCATTGATTGGTTCTTGGAAAATGGCAACTTTAAGGGAAATGGCAGATTCGAAAGCAGGTCCTCAGGTCGGTCAGTTCTTTCTGCGTTGCCCAGGAGTTATCTTGTCATCTGTTAGAGGGAAACAACATAGATCTTAGCCGTGTTATTTGTGGAACTGCTGTACCTGGGTGGTGTGTGGCTGCAGAGCGTGGCCTCATGTACCTCCACGGCGTGCATCTAAAAATGACTGCACCTATTTTTATTTTTCAAACAGGGGTCACACCAACTGTGATGATGTTTGAGTTACAGACCCAACCCTGCAGGGTATTTTGTTTTGTTTGTCTGTTTATTTGGGGGCCACAGCCAGCGGTGCTCAGGGCTTACTCCTGGCTCTGTGGTCAGGACTCGCTCATGGCGGGATTCGGGGAACCATACGGGGTGTTGGAGATGGAACCCAGATTGGCTGCCTGCTAGGCATGCATCCTACCTGCTTGTCCTATGTCTCCAGCCCTGCAGGGCCTTTAAAAAAGATTTTCTCTCTTCCTTGCGACTTCTCAGAAGCCACTTGAGAAATGTGCTCATCACCAGACTTCTGTATCCACAAATGTCTCTGCGTCAGGGACCAAGGAATCCAGCTTTGGACCCGTTCTCCTGGGACTGATTTCTCAGCTCTTGCTCAGCCAAGGCCTCCCCAGCTCCTGGGTGCTGCTCTGAAGCCTACGGTGTAATAATCACTCTTGATCATGGCGACTTCCAAGGCTCCTTCCTGTCGCCACCCCAGCCTCTCCAATCTCCCCCCCTCCCCATGCACACACCCACACATACCCCTGTTCCTGCATGGCTCCCTGTGCTTCTCTGCATGACACCTTGGCGAAATTGCCTGCGGTCTCGTTGGGTCATGTTCGTTGTATGCAGGTTGAATATTTGCGAGTGTAGTCATAGCATCCTGTGTGGGAAAGTGGGGTGTGAGCAGCTGTTCCCCCCCACCCCCGAAAGAAGTAAGGGTTGGGAGCCAAGCGCCCTTGCGGGTTTCATTGCTTTCCCATGAGAGCTGGTGCAGGCTGGCAGCTCTGGCCAGGGAAGCAGCCCATCCGGCGGCTCAGGCAGGCAATGTTTGCAGATTGTGCCCGCTGCCATCTGCCTGTGAGGCTGCAGAAAGCCCCGGCAACTGCTGTTCTAGCAGGTGCTGGGGCTGCCGAGGTGGGTGTCCATGCACACGCACTTGCACACAGCTCCATGTTGTGAGGGCCTGAGGCGCCAGCTGCAGCTCCACCCAGCCAGGCGCCAGCCACAGTAGTTGGTTTCCGGTGGGGCCCCCGGGGAGGGTGGGTGGGTGGGTGAGGCTGGGGTGTACGGAGCCAGCAACGGGGGAACTGGCGTCGGTAACCGACACTTGGTGTGTAGGAAGTGCTCAGGCAGGGGCTGGCTTTTGACAAGCTTTCACTGGGTTTTTTCCATGGCCGTCTTCTGGGGGCCTCCCGGCCTAACTCTTGTTCATTCCACAGAAGCCTGTCTCCAGTTCTCACTCTGAATTCCTTTAAAAAGCCTATTTCACCCAAGCACAAAAATTTGTAAATCTACAACTGTACCTCATGGTGTTTCACTAATAAAAATGATAAATCCATCTATATATTTTAATTTGAATAAAAGCATTTTAATAATCAAAAAAAGCCTATTTCTCAGCCTGGAGCCCTTCTTGGTGTTTGATGTTGAACCCCTGAGCTCTGTGTTTTTCTGAGGTCATTGTGATCATGGGCTGAAACCCAGAAATTTCCAGACCTGTTGTCTGTGAGTGTCTATTGCTTCAGGCTGTTCACACATGGCACTCAAGAACCACCCGGTCAGCCATTAGGGTGAAAAATAACAACCCAGAGCTAGAGAAACAGAACAGGGGTGACAGTGTTTGCCTTGCATGTAGCCGACCTCAGTTTGATTCCCGGCACCCTGCATGCTCCCCTGAGTCTCTTCAGGAGAGATCACTGAGCACAGAACTAGGAGAAAGCCCCGAGTACAGCCGGGTGTGGCCCACTACCCTTTCCCCCAAACCTAGACCTTAATGTCTCTTTGCTAAGAGGCACCCCTTCGAGCAAACCTTTTGTATAGAAAGACAGATATTTTAGACTTTGATCTCTGTTCTAACTACCGAACTCTGCTGTGGTTAAGCATCAAAGCAGCCAAAGAGAAGACTTAAGCGAATGAAGGTGGTTGGTTGTAATGAAGCTCTTTATTTATAAAAAGTGACGGGGGGCAGCAGTTTGCTGACCCCTGGCCGGAAATGGCAGTTTTTATTTTAGTTTGCTATCCTTATGTTTTTCTTTGCCTGCAGAACTTGATGACTAAAACGAGCTTCAATCAGCTTCTTTGGGGGGGTTTGCATAATTGTGAGCACTGTAGTGATGTGGAAATCTACCGCCCTAAATCCCTGATGGGAAGAATAGAAACCAGAAGGCTTTTAAGAGGTTACTTGGCTTGGCCAAAGCTTGTCATTATTCAAAAAGTAGAACAGGCTGTCACTTAGCTCTTTATGGTGGCCTTGAGTCATACCATACATTCTCATTCTGGCCAATAGTATGGCGAAGGCCATACAAGGTCACATCATGATATTGAACATTATTCCATTTTCTAGGATTCAAATGACTGTCAGGAAAATTGGCTGCAAAATATGGGAAGTGAAGTGTTGTGAAACCACGATGTTAATTGAGATCACTATAGTTCGTTTTCAGAACGCCAAAGCTCAAAACTATCAACGACGCATTCTGAAATTCCAAACCACAATCTTAATTTTCTCTCATCTCTCCTCACAGGAAATAAAGAAGGAAATGAAGAAAGACCCTCTCTCCAGCAAAGCTCCAGAAAAGCCCAGGCACGATATAGCCAGTGGAAATGCTTTGCTGTCTTCTGAAACAATTCTAAGAAGCAACAGGAGAGGTATGGAAAGGAAGAAGGACTGCCCTCCCTCCCCCAGTCCCCCCCCCCAGATATTGCCCTTATATTTTGGGGTGCATTTTGAATACATATACATGGCTATAGGCACACGCAGACAGCAAGTAACAACATCAGAACTCTAATAAAGGGACCCAGTAAAAGCGTTTCTTAACATGGGGATACGGGACTGAAATTGTAACCGATGATTTTGCTAGGGTTCTTGCCTTTCACTTTCGCATCTATTTTTATGATTGAAATGCTGTGGTGCAGGCTGAGCCAGGCTCTTTGTACTTATGGGTGGGCTTTATCAGACTCCTTTTCCCCCCTGGAGCCGCTGTCTTCCAGTGTCTATGAACCAGAATATGCAAAGCCTCACCTCAGCTCACAAATCCGAATCAGACAGGTTTTCAGATATCAGCTGGTTGGAGATTCTCCCCAGCCCCCCGCTTTGTGCCATTATTGTCTGAAATGATAGGAAAAACACTTGACTCAGGTTTTTGCTATGTCGGATTTTCAGCTAGATCTTCTCAGCCTTTCCTGAGCCTACTCTGACTGTGGTTGGTTGAGTCCTGGGCACACAGACCGCCTGCCAATGGCGGGTTAGCATCAAGCTGCAGGCTTATTACTTCCTTGGAGAGACATATAGAGCTGTTCAAAAGCAGGAGCAGGAAATATATGAGCAAAGAACTCTGGTAAAAAAAAAAAGAAGGCCAGTTTACATAACTGTGGGGCAGAACAGCTAATCTTTCATAAAATTTAGACAGCTTAAGAATTGTCCAGTAAACTGTCCATTGATCACAGTGCTGGAAACGTTAGCTTCACTCCTGCTGCTTCTTCTGCCCCTTCTAGCTGCCCTGGGCTGTATTTCTGATTTTGAATTATTCACATTCAAGATTGGCTAGAGGCCCATTCTGGTTCACAGCTATAAGGTTTTCTCTTCAGGCCTATTTCTTTTCAATCCCTTCCTACCAAATTCTGGGGACTTTCCAGTTTGAGCATTAAGAATTCTTCATCATACAACTGCATTTGCGTGTCAAGTACCTCCTGCATTGGTACACCTGGGTTCCAGAGTTCCCAAGTGCTGCTCTATTTGGGCTTCCAGAGTTGGTGATCACTGTGTCTGTGTCTGCAAATGCCCCATTCTGAGACAAGACTCTGGTGTTCCCCTTGATGTGTCTTGAATCAGTGGGATTAGAAATTGAACCCATGTTGATAAAGAGAGCATGGCCTCTCTGGCCAGCCCTGTTTTTCTTTAGTAAATAAGATATCTAATTGGCTTAAGAAGATATGGAATTAATTACGTTATGGGATTAACATGATTATTTGTTCGAGAATTTTGGGGGCCAGACAATATTATAGCAGGTAGGGTGCTTACCTTGCATATGGCCGACCCGGGTTCAATCCCTGGCTCTTTACATGGTCACCCAAGGCCTACCAGGAGTGATCCCTGAGCACTGAACCAGGAGTAAGCCCTGAGCATCACAAGGTGTGCCCCCCCAAACAAATAATTACCCCAAACTTTAAGTCAGCAAAGGATGTGAACTCTTCAGCTGTTTGACTCTTTACAATGAGAAAAATATGACCTGCTAATTCCCCCAGTGGGATGTTTTCGAACTGAAAAATGGTCCAAAAAGGACTGGCTGCATGGTCCTTTTTTGCTAAGCTTCCACCTTAGACCAGTAGCTAAACTATGAGCAATACTTCACCCTTAAGTATTTGACTTACTGACTCTGTCGGGTGCTCAGAGACCTTAGCTCAGAGACCTTAGCATGGGGTGTTCTCTCAGTATGAAACACATAACAAAGCAGGCCATCTTCATCCTGTCCCAGGCTTCACGCTGACCCCTGGTCACCTGGGCTGAACATAAATCTTGAGTTGAAGGGAAGCATTGTGTACTAGGGCCGGTGCCGCCCTTGGCTCTGCCCCTGCCCATCAAGGCTAGTCGTGCCCTACTACTCCTTATAATGAACAGCGAGCCAGATTGATTGGTCTTGTCAGGCCAGATAAATAGTTCATTGTGCTGAACTCAAAAGCTACATTTTTCCCACCCCAAATCAATGAAAACCCCCTTTTTTCCCCCTTTCAACAAGGATCAGAGGCTAATCTGAGGGATGATTCTAGTTACTTGTAAACACTTCCTTCCAAGTAATTTTTCAAGTTTTATGAGTTATCGGAAGTGACTGAAATTTCCTCCTTCCCTTTGTCCCCGTCAGGCATTGTCCCTAGAAATGCCTTGAATGTTTTTTGTCTACTGCTGTTTGTTATAGAGGGAAGTAGCTTTTTAGAATGGAGAGTTTAGAAATAGCCCGCTTTGATGGACTAACACGGGATCTTAGAGGATATGAGTCTACCTGGTGATTCAGCGTTGGACTCCGTGAGAGATGAATAGCAATAACACATGTTTGTTTTCTTCTCTGTTCCCCCCTGGGGTTAGGGGCCTAGCACAGGGCCTCACCCATGCGAAGCACGTGCTCTTCTGCTGAGCCGGAGCTTGGCTTCTTTTTCTTCTGTGGGTCTTATCATTCCATACCGACTTAGGACTTATTAAAGAAAGAAACACCAGAATCTGTTTCACAATACAGTCTGACCTGGAACCCTTCCTTGGGGTCCAGAACTTGAGGCGGACTTAGTCAAAGAAGTTGGTCCAATAGTGTCCCACAGTTTTGAGAACCTAAGTCGCTTTGGGACAGTGGCCGGTGGGTGGTCGTACCTCTCAGCATGGATGAGCTCACCCTCCCAGGCACCCAAATAAGGTCAGAAGATAACCCAAAATCGGAAGGAAGCTATTCATAGACTCAAAAAATAAAAAAAAGAGAGAGAAGCCAGGAGTGTGGAAATGTTTGGGGACCAATGAGTTTCTGTTTTCAGCTTTAACCTTTGCAGATTGCTACAGAGTTGATCTCAGGAGGTACAGGAATGACTGTGGGCTCCTTGTTTGAGAAAAACATGACTGAAATGGTGCGAGTGGAAGCCGCTCGTACAGCAGCCTTCAGTTCTGTGGCCCAGATCAGGGACTGTAGGGACAGTTGTGATGTTCCTACCCTGGTCCCGTCTTTGGTCAGGATCCAAGTTAAAGCAAAGGCATTTCCTGTTAAAAGCAGGATCTTTCCTGAGGAGTAAGAAGTCATTTTTCATTTTGACTGTCATGGTGGGGGTTGGCTAGCCTCGTGTTATCGCAGTCTCCCATATGTTGACGGATTGCAGCCCAAACATCTGTATGCTTTCCTTGGAGTCAAATGTCATTCTCATGAACAGGACAGAAAAAGTGTTGTGTTTCCTTCTGAGAATGATTGACTTTTCTGTTTCCTCTATTATTGAACCCTTAGAGGAGACTCATGGGCCCGCTACAATAAGAACAGTGATCTACAGGAGAATCTGTTTGAAAAACATTCAGACCCCTAATAAAATTCAAATGGACCAAAATGAACCTTTTTTCAAAACACCCCTACATAACTTAAATGCATTCTTAGAAATGAGCGGACCATCCATTTGAATAGGGACTGGATATTTTCCTTTCTATTTGAATTAAAATGAAATGAAAGACTTGGGTGTAAAGGACTCCCCCTCCAACTTGGTCCTGTGTGGAGGAAGCATCCAGGCTTTGATCAGTGCCCTCCTGGCCTGCATGGGGCTCTGGTGTAAGGGCTTCAAGTCCTTCAGGTTTTTGCATTGTTAGCGGTCCTCATGGAACATTTCTCCATCTGACTGCCTCTAAGTTTGGAAGTTGTGCCTTCTTCACTTTGGGGTGGATACTAAGGAATATTCAGTGCTACACATCAGCTGCTTGTCTACTCCTGGCTGTGTGCCGGCTGCTCTTCCTGTGGCAGATCTAGAAACTCTCAGAACCCCAGCCAGTCCTACCAGCGAGCAAGCAGTTGGTCCCACTGCACATGTCATTTGGGGAATGCGGAGAATGTGCCACACATTTTTTATATCATTATTTATTTATTTTTTGTAAATACTGTATCCCATTTTTTTGTTTTTGTTTTTTGTTATTGTTGTTGTTAAATTTATTTATTGAATTACCATGAGAAAAGTTACAAAGCTTTCAGGTTTAAGTCTTGGTCATACAATGATCAAACACCCATCCCAATAATTATTTTTAACCACCAAGAACCCCAATATACCCCACTCCCACCCCTCCCGATGCCTGTGAGGCAGATGATTTCTACTTAACTCTTTCTTTTTTTCTAAATTTTAAATTTTTAAAAATTTTTGATTTTTTTATGGCCAGGTGGGGACATATTTCTTATCGTGTCATTTTGATTGTGAAGCCACTCCACGGGTTTCTGGTTGGCTTTATATGTCCTTGTTTCTATTTCCAGTGTATCATGAAATCAGTGTTTGGTAAGTCACTATTGTATTTTGCACACTTATTCGTTGCTATTATTATTATTATTACTGTTGATGATGTTGGTATGCTCTCCTGATATAAAATGTATTTTATCATCATCTTAAGTTGCTCTGCTACGTTGGCCTCTGCCTCCTGGACTATAAATTGCTTTTACCATCTTTATTTAAGGTTTGTTACGCCATTTGCATTTTACTGCCCCTTCTAAGGAGGAATGTTCAGAGAGGCTCTGACGCTGTGAGATGAGACTCAGGTTGAGAGGGGGGCATTCTCAGAGTTGGTATGGCATGTGACTTTGATTGTAGAACATGACGCTGGGGTCTCATTTTTCTGGTGTTTAGTGCTTTAAACAGTTTAGTTCAGACTGAGCTGAAGCCTGCTCGGTCCTATGGATCCTTAAAGAAACTTTTCCTCAGCAGAGGGACTAACTAGCAGCTGCTCTGCCTCTGGTGACACACTGTTGCTTTAAAAGTGAGGGCAGAAATTCTTGAGAATTCACTGGGTGTGTGGATGGGATGTGAAACACACGTACATGCCCTTCATTGTTAATGTGGGCCTAAGTGTTTGCCGCATGGATGGGCTTTCCATTTGGGTCTGCTGTCTATAGCTCTTTGAAGCGTGTTGCCTAATGTTTTACCTTTCTTTGACTCAG